TATAGTTCCATCCACTGGGCGTACTTGTCTGCTTAAAGTTCAAGCACATGCTTGAATGCATTGCTGGTGAGGAAGCAATTGGAGGACAACCACAGTATCCTTATGCAATCAATTCTACTTGAAAGGAGAGTTAGCCAAGAGAGTAGTGTTCAAATTACTGTATCATATTTCACTGTAGCTTTCTGGATTTAGTAGCAAATATCATGGTTTTAGAATGAAGAAATTGAAAACAAACTTTGCATTTGTCTGAAAGGGAGGAAGGGTTGCAATGGAGTGCCAAAAAAAATCCAATACTTTATCCAATGTCTACTTACGTTGGCAGACTCTTTGTGACTTCAGTGAGCATTGGATCAGGCCCTGTCTGATATATTAAGGAAAAAACAATAACCTAAAATATGCCAGTTTACTCCTGGGGAAATGCCGCGCCACTGTGCGTGTGCATAATTAATGAGCCGTGCATAGTTTTAATTTTTTGCACAGAAAAAAGCTTCCCCTGGAAAGTTTGTTGCAGTTCCACCTTTTGCCCACCAGAGGGTGCTAGGGAAGAGAGCGCCTGCCTTTTTCACAGCGCTCATCGAGCCAGGTCAGGAGACAGGGGCTACGGGCAGACACAGTGTGGGGCTGCTGGGAAGTTAGACAGGGACTCATTAGGGCTAGTGGGGGAGACAGACTAGGGCAGGGGCTGAGTGGGAGTGGAGGTGCAGGGCCACGGGAGTAGGAGGTGCACCGCCACATGGTGATGGGGGAGCGGGTGCAGGGCCACATAGGGAGAGGAGGTGGCTGAGTTGGGGCACAGAGACACATGCGGACGGGGGGAGAATTTTCAATGTTTTGGCTCAGAATTCCCCAGGAGTAAGTAGTTGATTCAAAATAATTGAAACTATGCTTTTACTTATTTATACTGCCATGTTAAATGTAAACAGATCAAATACTGCCATTCAGAAGATATTTAAAACTGTTGTAATAGTAATTCAAATAATATGGTTATTTTGAATGGTCATTGATTTTATAAATCATTATCAACAAAGACTTTATTAGGGGAAAAGATAGGTAGGAATGAGTTTTGCCTTGTTCTAAATAAAAAAATAAGATGATTTGCCTGCTTAAAAATCAGTATCATATGGGCCTCAGCTATACATTATTATGCTTGCTTCTTACCTTTAGGGAGTGAGAGAGTAATTCTACGCTAACCATGATGAACAGTGCAGTTTTCCTGTTATAGTCTCTGCATTCTGTGTACAACTCCCAGGCCACAGTAGTTTAAGAATTGATAGGCTGACAAATGACAATATTTCTGTTATCCATCACTAAAGAAGAAAACTGTGAGAGTCATAGCTGAGCCTAAATTCAAAAGTCTTTGAAAAGCAAAAATAAAAAATAACCCTAACTCATTGTCAAGTACACATGAGTAACCACGGTTGACCAGTGTAGGATCCAATCCGGTTCTTATTGAAGTCAGTGGGATATTGAAACCTTAAACAGTATACAACATTATTTTAATTAGAGAATTGTACACAGTGTAAAATATTCATGAACTGAATGTATAGTGGGTCCCATGAAAATCTTGACACTTATGGCTAGATTCATAAGGGCACTTAAGTGTTGCAATTAGGGTGACCAGACAGCAAATGTGAAAAATCAGGATGGGGGTGGGGAGTAATAGGAGCCCATATAAGAGAGAGACACAAAAATCGGGACTGTCCCTATAAAATTGGGACATCTGGTCACCCTAGTTGCAATGTCTAACTTTTTGGCACTGAGAAAATCACTGGGATTCACAAACCTTAAGTGTTCAGGCTTCCTATACCCTGAGTGGAGGGAGGTAAGTGCCTAAGAATGGGATTCACAAAAGCCAGCTTGCTAGGCAACTCCTTGCCTCAGCTAATCACTGGGAGAAGGGTGTGTTCTCAGCCTTAACCCACTCAGGAGTTCAGTGCCTAAATCCAGGCTGGAGGGAGGTGCCTATTGATGTTTCAGAGTCTCAGTGATGCTTTAATGAGGAAAACCACCATCAACCTTTATCTTGGTGGTTAGGATAATCACTTGGGATGTGGGAGACCACAGCTTCAAATCCCCCCTTTGCCTGAGTGGGAGAGAGATTTGAACATCTCTCAGGTAAACACTCTTAACTACTGAGTTATGGGATATTGTGATGTGGAGCTCTCAATCTCGCCTGTTAAAGCTTTATATAGTCACTGGGACAGAGAGAACAAGAGAGAGCACATGCATGAGAGTGATTACAGCACTCATCCAGGATGTGGGCAACCGGGGATCCAGTCCCCCTGCTCCAAGGATTCTGTAATTATTTATACAATGTGGAACAGCTTCAACATGAGAGACTGAGATTTACATCAGAATACCCTATAACTAGGTTTGGAAGAATTGGATTTTTATCAGTAAATCCAGGTAAACATCAATTTCATCATATACATACAAACCAACAACAATATTTCTATCAATAATTGAAATTTTCAGATAGGCAAAGTAAAAAAAAATGATGCTGGAGAATTTGAGTTTGATTTAAGGATATTTACCTTTGTGTGGTGTTGATTCAAAAAATTACAGTTTTATAACCACTATCTACTCTTATTAAATAGTCTGACCCTCTTCTATTGACTGACCCCCACATAATTTCCGAACCTGAACATTTAAATAGATAAAAATCTAAAAAAGCTGTAAAATAAACACCAATATCATCTGTCTAAAAATAAAAATCAAATTCTGCCAAGCTAATGCATATCCCTGTGGTAAGGACACTCACCTGAGTTAGGAGACTCCTGTTCAGCTCTCTTATTACGTATAAGGGGTATGTGAACCAGGGGTCTCCCACATCCCAGGTGAGTATCCAAACCACTGGGCTAAAGGTTATACGAGACGTTTCTCCTCCTGAGCTATTTTGGTTGGAATTAGGTTGCCTCTGAGCCCACCTACAAAATCAAGCCCCACAGGCAAGTTAGGCAGAGGAACTCCTCTCTTTCCTAGTGTGTGAATCACACTGGGGTGTAGGTGGGAAATTGGTATCCAGATGCCTAACGTAAGGCAGCAATGTGCATGTTCAGAGGCAGGAACATAGGCATCCAAGGAAGTTTTACTGCAAAAACATAGGTACCATGTGAGTTTAGGCACTTACAGGATCCAGGGGCAGTTTAGTGGAGGTTTTATGAATACATGTGGTACCTGAATCCCTCTGTGAATCTAGCCCTTAGTGCTCTATGATAGTTAATTGTAAGATGGTACAATCTTTTCAGTATTCCCTATGGGGAATTCCAGAGGTAATCTTCCTTAGGTAAGCATCACAGTGGGATAAACATGAAGGGTGGGATTTCCAAAAGCATTGAGTGTTAGTATAACTCTGATTCCACTGAAATTGTGGACTGAGTAGAATTTTTTTTTCCATTGACTGATGAGTGCAGATTTAAGGCAATACTAAGCACCTGTGAAAATCCCACCCCAAGATCTTACCCACTGCAAATCTTTTCATACAACTGGTGCAGGGGGAGGGGAATGGCTAGTTATGATAGAAATGAAAGTTAGTTTATGTAGGGGTTTTTTTTTTTTGATTCATTAAACTGCAAAGCAATAAATATTTCCCAGTGGGATTTGATAGTAATCAAAAAGATCATAGGGCAAACAAAATGTAAGAAGGTGAAATAGGGTAAAATGCAATTAATTTGAAACTATTAAATTGTATAATAATTAAGATAAAAACTGTGTATAACCTACCTATTGACATAAGGCTGGATTTTGCCACTCTTCCTCGTGCTGAGTAGTACCTTACTTGAATTAGACTAATAGTAACTGGGATTGCTCACAGAATAGAGTACTATTCGATGTAAACCAGGGTATCAGAATTTGGCCCAATTTTTGGAAGTGTGTGTGTGTGTGTGTGTGTGTGTGTGTGTATATATATATATATATATATA